TAGTAGTAGTAGAACCGTGCCACCACTAAAAAACATCGGGGGTGGGGTGCTCAACTCTTTTTCTAGGTAAAAATGGAGGCCCCCCTTTTTTTAAGTTAGTGGTTGTGTGATCTGAACATCCAGGAAGATTGGCTAATAAACAGCATCCTTTCACGAAAGCTGAAATATTTTGGTCATATCAAGCGCCACGGCGGATTGGAAAAAATTATAGCAGAAGGCATGGTACCAGGAAGGAGGGGCAGGGGCCGACCAACACGAAGATGGGCACAGGATATAAGTGACTCCTTGAGTGTGAAAGTGCATGAGGCAGGAGAACTGGCGAGAGACCGAGTTTCTTTCAGGCAGACTGTGATGAGAGCGACGTTCTGCAAAGGACCTGCTAAATGATGATGGTTGTGTAGACAGACCTCGTGCGTTGACTTGTACGGTTTGTGCGAAAGATTTAAAAATAAAGGGGGTGGTGGAGGGGCTAATGCTGCTAAGATGGCCGTAACCACCAGTGTAATTGAGGGCTGCCAAACACTCTACAAACACGGACTGCGGTATTCAGGTGGATGTGGATGAGGGCCTGTCTCCTTGAGTGCTTTTAAGTGTGATCGTATCTATAGAATGTGGAGGGAGTAGACACAAGAATAGACGGTATCACACTTGAGGAAAGCGCGGCGTTATCATAGCAGAGGTGTATGTATGTGTGCGCGCGCGTTTTGGTATCTTATCGCGACCGACGTCACGTGCTCAGTCACCTGATATTGCAGCGCTAACTGGTACTCTTGCTTACTGTTCCAGTGCAGAGTTATTTATATCTATTATCTTGACCTCAAGGACGGCATAGACGTACTTCACAAGGCTTTACTTGCAAGTCATGTAGTCGAGTTAACACCAAACTTGTATCTATCCATCAGTCTCTTTATTTTTATCTCTTATCTTGACCTCAAGGACGGCATAGACGTACTTCACAAGGCTTTACTTGCAAGTCATGTAGTCGAGTTAACACCAAACTTGTATCTATCCATCAGTCTCTTTATTTTTATCTCTTATCTTGACCTCAAGGACGGCATAGACGTACTTCACAAGGCTTTACTTGCAAGTCATGTAGTCGAGTTAACACTAAACTTGTCCGTACAGTCTATACCTGTGTATGCCCATGCGCGTGTATGCAGTTTTAAAAATGACACGCACGGCCATTCAGGTGTATATTAGAGTAGTCACGGGACGACACGACAATGAGTAAATCAGTTAGCAGTCGCTGCCCACGAGTTCAGGCATGCAGTTGCTCACCTGTGTCTGTACCATATTGTGTGTATGCACACTTTGAATCACTGCCGTCCGTGACAAGGTCAATCCTCAGATCGTGTCTCTTCGAGGCGTTGTTTTAGTCGTAGTTTCCGTCAGTTCAGTCAACTATTCCTTCGTCTTGTTTCTATCTAACTGTTTGTTGGCATTTAACGATTCTATTGTGGTACTCAGAAAGAACTACAGGAAATGATAGACATTGTGGTGTTAGAAAGTGGAAGAATGGGCCTCAGTTTGAATAATGGGAAGACAAAAGTAATGGTGGAATCAAAGAAACGAATTATTCCTGAATGTGTAATAAAAGTCGATGGTGTTATTTTAGGGCAAGTACAGAAATTCAAGTATCTGGGCACATGGATAACATCAAATGGAAGATGTATAACTGAGATAAGAAACAGAATAGGACAGGCAAAAACTGCATTTTATAAAATGAAAAACATCTTGTGCAATATATCCTTGTCACTGAGAGTTTAAAAAAAAGAATTCTTGCTTGCTACATACATCCAGTTTTAACATATGGCTGTGAATCCTGGACAATCGGTAGGCAGGTCAGACAATTTCTAGAGGCCTCAGAGATGTGGTTTTACAGAAGAATGCTTAGCTTAGAGGTATAGTATCAATACAAGTGGTTTTTTTTTTGGACAGCCAAAAAGAGCAACCAAGAGGTTTTGAAAGAGCCGGGAGCCCGAAGACAACTTATCACAGACATCAGAAGGAGACAGTCATCATTTTTCGGCCATGTTATCAGAACATGTTGTGACTACTGGAAAGATCTGTGGAAGGAGGGATAGATGAAGACAACGAGAGAAGATACTTGACAGTCTTGTTGCATGGCATAGAGGTGTGTCGGCACACGAACTGATACATGCTGCAGGAGATCGCAGATTATGGAGAGGCATGATCGCCCACGTCAGTCGGCAAGGCACCTGATAATGATGATTGTGGTACTAGGTTCGACACTTAGCGAGCATGTCTTGTTTGGAATGCACTGTGCCATATTAAAAGTAAGGGTCCCTCTTTCGCGCCTTTGTGTGTATAGGGCTAGAACTATATTTGTATAGACAAATAAACACAAGATGGTGATGTGGTCAGCATCACGCCGGTCGCCTTTACTTTCCGGGACTGCACCCGGTACCCACTCAAGGCTGGGTCTACCTAGGAGTCAAGGTCATTTTTTAAGAAAAAAAAAGTCCGGCTCCGCCAGAGAGCCAACCCACGACCTTCCGATCCTCACACGGGTGTCTGGCCGCTACGCCACGGCGACTCCCACTGTGCCATATTGGTGTTGTAAATTTCACTTGAGGGTTACACGGAAAAAGGGGAAAGAATAGGGAGGATAGGTGTAATGGGCGGTGTGAAGATTTATTTTCAGAGTTAAGCCAGTAGATAGGTATTTGTGCAGATTTACAAGCACAGCTAATCTGGTTCTGCCTGTGCCACCCAGGCAAGTACTTTCATCCGGACATACCCGACGCACCTCAACAAGCCACGACGGCACGAGAATTATGCAATATGTCATTTGTAATCGTCGGCAGTTCTCAAGGAGACGGATCTATATTCAGCATAATAATAATCCTATAATCAATGAGTGTGAAGGCGTTAAGAGTGACGGTGTTTGCCCGGGAGGTGTGCTCTCCCGATTGCTGCATATTAATAGAAGGCATGTTTTACAGCATCTGTCAGCGATGTTACCGCGGGCATGTAGCGGGCAGATAGGCAATAAACACATTGTTATAAAGTTAACATGATGTAACTATGCCCGGCTGTGTACATGTATGGGCGAAGGTTAATTTATAGGCATTCGAATACCCTAAAGGACCCTGTTCCGCGCCTTAGTGCTTATTGGGCATTAAGAGATATACCTATATTGTATAGACCAGTTGGCACTCGGGAGGCGATGCGGTCAACATCGTTTCTACCGTCGTTTCTTCCCTGCAGTTTTACCTGGTACTCATTCAAAGCTGGGTCGACCAGGGAGCCAAGGTCATGTTGGGGGGGGGGGGGGCTAAACCCACGTCGCTGGTGCTGGGCTATATTGCTGATTGGGGCCAAAGGTGCTGGGCTATACTGCTGATTGAGGCCAGAGGTGCTGGGCTATACTGCTGATTGAGGCCAGAGGTGCTGGGCTATACTTCTGATTGAGGCCAAAGGTGCTGGGCTATACTGCTGATTGAGGCTAAAGGTGCTGGGCTATATTGCTGATTGGGGCCAAAGGTGCTGGGCTATACTGCTGATTGAGGCTAAAGGTGCTGGGCTATACTGCTGATTGAGGCTAAAGGTGCTAGGCTATATTGCTGAGAGAGGCTGAAGGTGCTGGGCTATATTGTTGAGAGAGGCCATAGGTGATGGGCTATACTGCTGAGAGAGCCATAGGTGATGGGCTATACTGCTGAAAGAGGCCAAGATGCTGGGCTATATTGTTGAGAGAGGCCATATGTGATGGTCTATACTGCTGGGAGGCCATAGGTGAGGGACTATACTGCTGATAGAGGCAAGATGCTGAGCTATATTGCTGAGAGAGGCTAAAGGTGATGGGCTGTACTGCTGGGAGAGTCCATAAGTGCTTTGCTATATTGCTGAGAGAGACCAAATATTATGGGCTATACTTCTGAGAGAGGCCATAGGTAATGGGCTATATTGCCGAAAGAGGCCAAAGTTTATAGGCTATACTGCTGAGAGAGGCCATAGGTGATAGGCTATATTGCTGAGAGAGACTAAAGGTTATGGGCTGTATTGCTGAGAGAAGTTAAAGGTTATTGGCTATATTGTTGAGAGAGGCCAAAGGTTAAAGGGCTATACTGCTGAGAGAGGCCAAAGGTGCTGGATTATATTGATGATTGAGGCCAGAGGTGCTGGGCTATACTGCTGATTGAGGCCAAAGGTGCTGGGCTATATTGCCGAGAAAGGCCATAGGTGATGAGCTATACTGTTGAGAGAGGCCAAGGTGCTGGGCTATATTGCTGAGAGAGGCCATAGGTGAGGCTATATTGCTGAGAGAGACCAAAGGCTATGGGCTATATTGCTGAGAGAGGTTAAAGGTTATTGGCTATATTGCTGAGAGAGGCCAAAGGTTATTGGCTATATTGCTGAGAGAGGCCAAAGGTTAAAGGGCTATACTGCTGAGAAAGGCCAAGGTGCTGGGCTTTACTGCTGAGAGAGGCCAAGGTGCTGGGCTTTACTGCTGAGAGAGGCTAAGGTGCTGGGCTTTACTGCTGAGAGAGGCCAAGGTGCTGGGCTTTACTGCTGAGAGAGACCAAGGTGCTGGGCTTTACTGCTGAGAGAGGCCAAAGGTGCTGGGCTGTGTTGCTGAGAGCAGCCAAATATGCTAGACTGGATTGCATCCACAATAGTACAGGATAAAAGTGAATGGAGGACAAGAGTGCGAGGGCTATGTGACATATAATGGTATAAAAGGATGATGATGTGTATCTATGATTTTACGATGACATCAAGTATTTTAATGAATTTATAGCTAGTGCACACATCAGCATCTAGCCACTCCTCTTTTGCGCCTCCCCTTTTCTTGGCTATTGAGATAGAAATAAATTGTCCCATGTGCATACTTTGAATTAATCAGTGGATCATATGGTCTTGAATCATTTGTGTTTTGTTGCTTTGACGATTCTGTATAAGAGTTTCTGTTTTCTGTTAGATGCCGCATTAACAGGTCAGTGAATTGAATGTGACCATAGACACAACACCAAGACATGGGTGAAGAGTTTCAGGACAGCGTGATGTTTCTGACACCATTGAATGCTCGAACTGACCATGCACACAGCGAGCCAGATGTGGTGCAGTGCTCAGCCCAGCCTGAACGTGGCAAGACAACCAAGAGCAAGTCCATGGACAAGTATCCAGAAGAGACTGACACCGAAACGTCACAACGAAGACTGAGTCATGGTGATGACCCTTTGTGGCTGAGCAAGGTAATCCAAAGTTTTTTTTAGGATGTAGGACACCCCTGTCATAATCATCATCATCAAGTGCCTTGCCTACTTTGGGCGATCACGCTTCTCTGCAATCTGCAGTCCGCAACTGTGTATATAAGTTCATATGTTGACACGTCTGCATGCCATGGTAAAAGGCTGTCAAGAATCTTCTCACGCTTTCTCCCTCTGTGTCAGACGGGCCTGCGTGCCCAATTTGTAACCCTTTGAAAATAAAGTTCGTTCTCTTTCCACAAATCTTTTCAGTGGTCACAACATGTTCCATTTTCTCATAACATGACCAAAATAACAGTGAATGTCTCTTTCTGATGTTTGTGATAAGTTGTCTCCAAGCACTTGCCTCTCAAAACATCTGGGTTGTTCTTTTTACATCCCTGTGCAGTCATTTATTTTGCACCATCTTCCTGCCTCAGCTGAAATTTGGCATCACTGATTGTTTGCAGATTACCAGCAGTAAGTTGTGGAATTATTTATTTCAGTTTTAAAACTTTCATTAGTTAGTTAATCGACAGATTATCCTCATTGCACATAAGCACTCGAATCCCATCTTCAGTATATCCATTGTGTGGCGATGGATTCCACCAGTTCTTAGTTGGTTTACTATTCTTCTTTGGCTGCCTGTATAGTGTTTATGTCTGGCAGCACCTCTTTTGTCTAGATGAAGTTCTTTTAGTATTTTCTCCTGAATCATTTATCCATCATGTCTTCTTGAAAGTGTGGAGAATATCACCCCGTCCATTGCTTGTCCTGTACCTTCTGTGGCCCTGCCAGCAAGCCAATCCTCTCGTTTATTCTCTTTTACCCAGAGTGCCCTGGCACAATTGTACTAAAGTACTGAAACCTAACTAAATAAACAACAGATCAAAGAAATGCAAAAGTAAAAGACCCTTTTCCACCTCATTGGGCATATTTTGCATTAGAGGGCTAGACCAGTATTTTGTAGACCAATCAGCACTTAGTGGGTGGTGTGGTCAGCATCCTGCATGCCACTTTTACTTCTCAGGATCTTTACCTGGTACCCACTCAAGGCTGGGTTGACCTAGGAGCCAAGGTCATTTTTGAAAACAGTGCTGCTGCATTAGGACCTGAACCCACGACCTTCACAGGCTACACCACAGCAGCTTCCATAAAACAAATGTGAAAGTAAAAAAAAAAAATTTATTCTAAAGACAGATATATTGGATAAATACGATAACCACACAGAAAATAATCACAGAAACTTTTAATTTAGTCCTTTTACAACAGGTTAGATTTTGCCAGGGAGTTGCTGTGGTGTTGCTGCGGACCTGAAGGATGTTTACTACATCACCCGCCAAGTGCCGAGTGATCTATAAAATATAGGTCTAGCCCTAAATGACCAGTACACCTGAAGGCATGGAAAAGGGTCCTTTACTTTACATTTTGCACCCTCATAGATATGCTGTCCTGTGCAGCTGCTCATGCTCAAATGCCTCCCTGTTATTGAGTATCCTGTAGAACTTAGGTTTCTTCCAACATGTTTTTGAACCCTTTATCCCCCACCTGGCTTCTTGGGCCCCATTTTGGAGGGAAAGGTTACGGCCCACTGCCCTGTAACAAAGCAACAAATTAGAGGATCGCTGAAACCGAATATGTTGGCTGAAAGGCACGGATGTCGCAGCCAAGCTGTAAATCACAACACATTGTGCCAACTGCCTTTTTAATGGCGAAGGAAAAAAACGGACTTAAAATGGATAAGAGATAATCTACAGAATTGTCTGGAAAGGTTCCATGTGTGTTCCGGGGCCCCATTATAGGGCAAACAAGAATAGACCCACTGCCTACCCAAAAGCATGTCATAAGAGTCGACTAATTGGGAGCTTCCTTTGAAGTTGGAGTGCATCTGCCTGAGAGGCAAGGAACCAACGGACTGCACACAAATGAGTGAATGCAAAGAAGTCTGGGAAGGGAAATCAATGAGGAAAGGAACTGATCACCCTATCTCAAATGTCACGACATACAGTATATTGAGACCTTACACTTCACACCACAGCGGCATTTATTTGTTTTGGGACAACCTTTATCTGAAGTTTTGTGTGACTTAATCAAATCAGGACAAGGTGATGGTCAAGTAACATCCCCGCAAGCGGCCACATGTTTATTCCAACTTGGTATAAAACTGTAGGACCACTGTGGAGCTGAAACAAAAGAGTGAATGACACAGAAGTATTTTAACACATTAGTAAGAGGGGAACTGATAGGATATTAAAATAGGAATACTGTAGGCCAGTGGAGTTAACACTATGAAATTTGTGGGGGTCAACAAAAATTAAAATATGACTAAACTTGAAACATTTAGCCCTAGTGTCAGATCAGTACTGCTGTGTTGAGCTGAAAGAAGAAAAAATCACTTTAATAATAAACTACAAACATTTATGAAATGGTGCCTGAGCAGAATAAAAGGAATTAAATTGCATGATCATCACTAATGTGGTGCTTCAGGAGAGAACTAAACAAATTCCAGTGAATCAGGATGTGAAGAAAAGAAGCTGGTATTGGATAGGTTACACATTGAGAAAACATGAGAACAATATCACTAGAATGTTGTACACTGGGACCAACAGGGTCATAAAAATAAAGGCCCCCCCCCCCCCCCTCAAATGGAGAACAGAACTAGAAAGTGAAGTTTAAAAAGATGGTGGGGGGGGGGGGGGGGGGGGGGGGTGACCTATATGAGACAGCAAAAGATAAGATGACTTAAAGTTAGTTAGTTGAGCGCCTGTGTTCCATTGGGGGATGAAGGACAAAAGGAGAAGAGGAATAAGATTGCATGAGCAGGTATGTGTATTTCAATAGTTTTTCCCTGACTGGTTTGTCTTCCTTACAGGTGGACCAAGAGTTTGTAGAGCTGAGCTTTTTGCTGGGACGAGCAGTGAAGCATGAAGGGAGGATGATCCTCATGACGGAGGTGGCTCCCCAGCATACCAGCATCCGAGGAGGTGAGTTATCTTAACGACACCAAGCTGTGATGTGATGAAGACACAGCCAGAATGTGTTTGCACTGGAACCCACAGGGTCAAAGAAATAAAGGCAGACCAAAGCACACAGTTGGCAGATAGATAGTGAAATTGAAATGGTGGGGAAGGCATAGGATGAGTGCAAATGATAGCACAAAATAGGATGACGTGGCGTCTTGAGTTAGTTGAGGGTCTATGCTCAAATAGGGGTAAAGGGCCGGAAAAGACCAGCTGTGAATGCCTGATTTGCATACTGTCAGATTTATGTATGTTAAAATACATTCTTTAGATATACTGGTATCATCGAAATTGGCTGCTGAATATGGGGCACTTATGGGAATGTCCCCACTGATGAACTGTCAATTCTTACCTCAATCAATGTTCTTTAGAGGCATCTGGCAAATGGTGGTGTAAAAATGGGCTGCCTCCATCTCAAATGTAAAGATGAAGTGTAAACACGTTCGACTAGGAACCTTACTTTTTGCATGGTGTTAGAAAAGATTATTGCTATTAAACTGTAAACATTTTTGGAAAGAGAAGAGATTTTGCTAAAAGATTTGGGTAGTACCGGCCAGGGAAAGATACTCTGTCAAAAATGGCCACTTTTGCTTTTGACGTTTATGAAGGATTTCAGAATAGACAGGAGACAGTAGTGGCAGCACTTGATCTTGAGGATGTCTATAATGGAGTTAGATATGATATTTTATTGTCTGCTGTCATGAAAACGGGGTTCAGGTGAACTGGATTGCATCTCTCCTGCATGCACATATGTTGTTCTTTGTCTTGGTACAACATTTCTGTTTGGATTCAACATATACATGGACTCTAGCTATGTACTATCACCCCAGGATTACCACAGAGGTCTGCAATTTCTCCAGTACTCTTCAGTGTGTAACAAGGAAGATTGCAGAACTAGAAGCTGTAGGTGTTGGTAGGATATTGACATTTTCAGATGATGCTCTTGCATATAGGCAGGGAAATGATGGGCATCAGACTGCTGAAGAGCTACAGGCAACTGTAGACAAAGTGCCTGACTGGTGTGTAGAGATGGGTGCTGACATTAACCCAGAAAAGACAGCTGTTTTGTGGAGTTCTCAGGACAATAGGATTGCCAAAGCTAATACCCAAAGCATGACAGTTAATTAAAATAACATTAAAAGAGACAGCAAACTCTAGTACCTGGGAATCACTTTTGATAGAAGCCTGTCCTTCAAAGACCGTGTGAAGGCTGTTGCAGCAAAGTGCTGAAAGGGACTCACTCAGTGCACCAAAGATTATGACAGATTATAGAACTGGAATGTTTGTTGTATAGTATAGAAAAAAAATTTAATTTTTTGTCATGTCGGTGCATAATGAATATGTCTGTCCATCACTTGTACAATACTGGTCTTATTTTCTTCAATATCATGTGAAATTCTAATGTACTTGATATTACAGCTGCCTTACAATCGAAAGGTCCTGCATTCAACCCCTTCATGACTTTTTTCAGCTCTTAGCATTTTCGGTAACAGATCACCAAAGTAATTATGTATAAAAAAATAAAAACAAAGGGAATACAACTAATTATGATTAAAGTGGGAGCCACAGTAAATTTGTCGATCAAATTGGGGGGGGGGGGGTTTGCCAACAGTGCGAATTCTCCTAGACCAGTTCTTTTGTTAGGCCCCCCCCCCCCCCCTTTCCTGTTGAGGGAGCGGCGGCTTAGTCGGTTAAGTTTGGAGGGTGGTGGAACGGGCCAGGGGGGCATTAAGAGCCTCAGATACACACTGGGCGCTGACTAAACACATGACAACAGTGGAGATGATGACAAAATAGAAAACAGAAGAATAAAGTTTGTCTAGCAGTATCCACCTACAAGGAACGTAAGGAACGCTCAAAGAATGTTCCTGCAAATGACTGGAAGGCTACTTTTGTGTTCGATCCATCATGGAGTTTCTACTGCACATACGGCAGCGGTGCAGACAAAGATAAAGAAGACTTGGTAATGGATACATATTCTTTCATTATCCCTAGTGAAACTGGGCAATTAAGTCTAGTTTCTAGTGTTTCCTTTCTGTAAAAGTGTTTCTTGGTGCTGCCATAGTGCATCTGATTTGTCAGCATTGCAGCCACCACCACCTTCCCTAAGGCGAATAGGTTAAGGTGTACACAATAGAGACCACACCGCCGACACATCTTTTGCTTGGGGGGGGGGGGGGTATGAAAAGTATTTAGCACAGGGGGAGATTCAGCGGTGAACTTGCTTAGCTCAGTGGCAACGTTGGCTGCAGGAATGCATAGCAGTGAAAGGGTTAAAACCAATCTACCTAGTCTGATGAGGTAACTTGTCAGACATTTTTTTTCCCCAAGCAACTGTCTACAGGATAAGGTTAATGAATCTATAAGTAGAATGTTGTTATGGAATGAACACACACATGCGGCACACATAGAGTCCTAAAGGAACCTGAAATCTTCTATGGTGCACCTTATGTATCCACAGATGAAAAGAGTGGTTGGAGGATGCCAGTGGAACTCTTCAGCTCCAAGAAACAAGAAGCAAACATCAAACACAAGTCCAACCGTCTGCGGTCCTATTACAAGGCTCAGGATGAACTGATCACAGCTTTCGAGAACATTGCCCTGGACGTGCAGACTGACATCCAACCTTTTAACCCTGGATCCAGTTACAAACGGGCATCTTTGTTTTCCAAAATCACACTGTTCATTAACATTCTCCTGTTGATAGCCAAGGCTGTCGCCAGTGCTCTGTCAGGATCTATTTCTATCATCTCTAGTTTGGTAGACTCTTGTTTAGATCTGTTCAGTGGTATTATCATGTGGTGGGCGACCAGAGCTGTTAAAAATAGAGATCCGTACAACTACCCACAAGGCCGCACCAAACTAGAGCCCGTTGCCGTGATTATTTTGTCTGTGGTTATGGCTCTATGTTCTCTACAGCTGATCCGAGAATCCGTAGAGAAGATCATCCACCTGGCCAGCGATGGGGCGTCCCTGCCGAATGTTGATGTAGTTACGTTTTTGATATCTGGGAGCACAGTTGTGATCAAACTGGTTCTGTGGCTGGTCTGTAGAAGGGTCAACTCTGCCATCGTCCAGGCTCTGGCCCAGGATCACAGGAATGATGTCCTGTCCAACACGGTAGCCATCATCTGCGGCTACCTCGGCTCCCAGAACTTCATGTCTGTCACCGGAGAATATGGTTTTGCATTTGTTGATCCCGTGGGCGCCATCATTATCAGTATCTATATCATGTTCAACTGGTGGCAAACAGGATCTGAACAGATCAAAATGTTAACAGGACACACAGCCAGACCCGATTTACTCAGCAAACTTACCTGGGTGTGTGTCAATCATCATCCGGAGATCCGGCACATCGACACTGTCCGGGCATTTCATTTTGGAAGCAATTTTCTGGTAGAGGTGGACATTGTCCTGCCAGGAGACATGATCTTACGGGAAGCTCATGATATCGGGGAAAGCCTGCAGCATCGACTGGAGAGTTTGCCTGAAGTTGAACGGGCATTTGTTCATCTAGATTTTGAATTTACCCACAATCCTCACTCCGAGCATAAAATAGTGTAATTGGCCATTTACTAATGTCGACATCATGTGACCTCGCACAGAAGACAATGCACATATAGACATTATTTCAGTTGACAAGGAACAGATGACCCAGATATATTCTGTTTGCTGTTTCATTCGTTATCGAGTGTGTAATAATGGATGCATCATCATTACACTCTGGAAATGATTCTTCTCCGACAACAGACATTGCACTGCATATATGTTAACTGCTGCCGTTATACTCTGTTTGTACACCTTCTCCTCGACTTATGACCTATGCACATGACCACACACACAAATAGTAAACAAAGAAAGAAAGATAACTATATTGATAGGGTCAACAGGTTTTGGGAATTGATGTTATAGAGTACATATATATTTTTCACACTATGTACAAAAATTATCTGTATATGTGTATTTTATGTCACATTTGTATGACCGCTTAAGTAAAAATGGTGTTGAAAAAATAAATTTGACTTAAAACCAGTTTGACCTGCTGGACCTGTTAGTCTTAATGTCGAGGATCTTTTGACCACACACAAAAAGTAAAGAAAGATAACTACATTGATAGGGTCAACAGGTTTTGGGAATTGATGTGATATACATATGTATTTTTCACATTATGTACAATAATTATACATATCTGTGTGTTTTATGTCACATTTTTAAAACTACTCGAGTGAAAATAGTGTTGAAAAATTAGACTTAAAACTAGTTTGACCTGCGACCTGTAAGTCGAGAAGATCCTGTAGATTAAACATATTCCCTCCTTCAACTTATTGAACTAGTTCCACCAGGTATTCAGTCTCTTTTGATCTCTATGTGTGTAATAATGTTAACATAAAATAAGTCTTTGGTGCAGCCCTGCAACCAAGTGTGAATGAGAAAAGAGTAAGCAAGACACAGGATACCTTTACACTGTAGGACAAGAGAAATCTAAGAGATTATTATCTTGATGATAGAAGAGGAAGTACTGAACATGACCTCAGAATATTTCTACATGTCGGGGTATAAGATGATAGATGCAGATGATAAATTAATCTTTGGTACATTGTGAGTGATACAGATTATTAATAATAATATTATCTTTGGTTCATTAAAATATATTGTGATATGTGAAAGTAAATGCCAGATTTTGGTCTATTGTTCAGTGTGGAGGGTGGTATCTTTAATTCATTCCAGTTTGCACATCAGTAATACAGGTTTTACATGTTGGCATGCTTAGATCTGTGATATTATTTGTTCTGCATTTATAGTTTTATCAATGCCAGTTTGACATGTTATCTGTATATTTTCTCCCAAACCTTAGCTATCTCCATTATCAGTGTGACCCTTGTCGCACAGCAGACATGCAATTAATCTCACACTAGGTAGAGGGTCGGACACCAGACATGAGATGTTTCTCATACAATAGGTCAGTGTCCTACAGGAGACATGTAATCTCACACTAGGTAGAGGGTGGGACACCAGACATAAGATGTTTCTTATACAATAGGTCAGTGTCCTACAGGAGACATGTAATCTCACACTAGGTAAAGGGTGGAACACCAGACATGAGGTGTTTCTCATACAATAGGTCAGTGTGTTACAGGAGACATGTAATCTCACACTAGGTAGAGGGTAGGACACCAGACATGAGATGTTTCTCATAAAATAGGTCAGTGTCTTACAGGAGACATGTAATCTCACACTAGTTAGAGGGTGGAACACCAGACATAAGATGTTTCTCATACAATAGGTCAGTGTCTTACAGGAGACATGTAATCTCACACTAGGTAGAGGGTAGGACACCAGACATGAGATGTTTCTCATTCAATAGGTCAGTGTCTTACAGGAGACATGTAATCTCACACTAGGTAGAGGGTCGGACACCAGACATGAGATGTTTCTCATACAATAGGTCAGTGTCTTACAGGAGACATGTAATCTCACACTAGGTAGAGGGTGGGACACCAGACATGTTTCTCATAAAATAGGTCAGTGTCTTACAGGAGACATGTAATCTCACACTAGGTAGAGGGTGGGACACCAGACATGTTTCTCATACAATAGGTCAGTCTCTTACAGAAGATGTAATCTCACACTAGGTAGAGGGTGGGACACCAGACATGAGATGTTTCTCATAAAATAGGTCAGTGTCTTACAGGAGTCATGTAACCTCACACTAGGTAGAGGGTGAGACACCAGACATGTTTCTCATACAATAGGTCAATGTCTTGCAGGAGACATGTAATCTCACACTAGGTAGAGGATGCGACACCAGACATGTTTCTCATACAATAGGTCAATGTCTTACAGGAGACATGTAATCTCACTAGGTAGAGGGTAGGACACCAGACATGAAATGTTTCTCATACAGTAGGTAAGTGTCTTACAGGAGACATGTAATCTCACACTAGGTAGAGGGTGGGACACCAGACATGTTTCTTATTCAATAGGTCAATGTCTTACAGGAGACATGTAATCTCACTAGGTAGAGGGTGGGACACCAGACATGAGATGTTTCTCACACAGTAGGTCAGTGTCTTACAGAAGATGTAATCTCACACTAGGTAGAGGGTGGGACACCAGACATGAGATGTTTCTCATACAGTAGGTCAGTGTCTTACATGAGACATGTAATCTCACACTAGGTAGAGGGTGGGACACCAGACATAAAATGTTTCTCATAAAATAGGTCAGTGTCTTACAGGAGACATGTAATCTCACAATAGGTAGAGGGTGGGACACCAGACATGAAATGTTTCTCATAAAATAGGTCAGTGTCTTACAGGAGACATGTAATCTCACACTAGGTAGAGGGTGGGACACCAGACATGTTTCTCATACAGTAGGTCAATGTCTTACAGGAGACATGTAATCTCACACTAGGTAGAGGGTGGGACACCAGACATGAAATGTTTCTCATACAGTAGGTAAGTGTCTTACAGGAGGCATGTAATCTCACACTGGGTAGAGGGTGGGACACCAGACATGTTACTTATTCAATAGGCCAGTGTCTTACAAGAGACATGTAATCTCACTAGGTAGAGGGTGGGACACCAGACATGTTTCTCATACAATAGGTCAGTGTCTTACAGGAGACATGTAATCTCACTTGGTAGAGGGTGGGACACCAGACATGAGATGTTTCTCATACAATAGGTCAGTGTCTTACAGGAGACGTAATCTCACACTAAGTAGAGTGTGGGACACCAGACATGAAATGTTTCTCACACAGTAGGCCAGTGTCTTACATGAGACAGGTAATCTCACTCTAGGTAGAGGAAAAGAAACCATATTTAAGATGTTTCTCATAAAGTAGTTATGTGTTTTACAGGAGACAGGTAATCTCACACGAGGTGAAAAACTAGACTTTATAGATATTCTCATACAGTAGTTTCATGTTTTACAGGAGACATGCAGTCTCCCATCAGGTGGAAAACCAGACTTTTCAGATATTCTCCTAAATTAGTTCCGTGTTTTACAGGAGACATGTAATCTCACACCAGGTGGAAAACCATACTTTACCGATATTCTCATACAGTAGGTCCGTGTTTTACAGTAGGCAGCTACAGAGTGAGACAACTGACTTTAGATAGAAGTTTCTAAAACAATAGGTCATTGTTTTACAGTAGGCAGGTAATGTCACAACAGGTACAGAGTAAGACAACAGACTTTAGATGTTTCTCAAACAATAGGTCATTGTTTTACAGGAGACATGAAATCTCCCACCAGGTGGAAAACCAGACTTTACACATATTCTCATACAGTAGGTCCGTGTTTTACAGGAGGCAGTTAATGTCACAACAGGTACAGAGTGAGACAACAGACTTTAGATGTTTCTCAAACAATAGGTCAGTGTTTTACAGGAGACATGAAATCTCCCACCAGATGGTGCACAAGACTTGAGGTGTTCCAACAATGTTGGTCATTTTTACTGGGGCACTGACGCATAAAAACCCTCTGTCTGCGATACTCTGAGACAGGTTTGAGGCATCAACAATGCATTCTTGGTTTGTTTTTTCAACATCACATAGGAGGTAATCCCACAAGACACAACATTTTAGTTACAGATGACATATGTCCATAAAATACAATATGTTAGATCAGTGGTGGCCAACATTGACTTTTTCATTTAGGTTGGAGAACTACTTTTCATTTCAAAATTCAGTCGACTTTTAAAGAGTCTATGTATAACACAGAATACTACTTCATGTTGTTGTCACAAGTGATGCTAACCACTATTTTTTCATCTGTCATAAAGCTGTAGTTGATTGTCAGGGATTACTTATGGGTCCGGAAGGATCTAGAGCATTGAGGGTAGGGAACAGTGTCTGTAGGTAAAGGACCTGTTATAGGGGTCTCACTAGTCTGTCTGCTGTTTTTTCTAGATGTCTCACATGTCGCTGTGTCTCTTTGGATGGCTGTTGGCCATGCAGTCCAGTCTTGTGCAACAACCTCCCAGGTGTCTTTATAGGTCTCTAACGAGACTAACAGTGATTTATGAATTGAAAAGACACAGACCACTGTGGGCTGCCTCGCATGATTGAACATGGTCATGTAGACCGCATTCGGCACGTTGGCCATCTCTGACCTAACAGCACAAAATGTGTACACTTAATCAACAATGGACAAATGTATTCAGAGAACAGAATAATCTGGCAAAGTCTGTATTAAAACAACAGTTGGTGAGACAAAAGATACATCATAAAAATATGACCATAAAATTATGCAATGTCTATATAAAAATAAAAATATAACAAGGATTGGAAACATAATCATACATGTTTGAACTCTGTCACAATCTGTAAGATCTTGTGCGTTACAAAGCAACAGTAACTGTTGCCAATCTCTGTCTACTCTGAGACAACAAATGAATATACTGAACTCGGGACTAGAAAGCCACAGGAACAATCAAATATTCCGACAGAAGCCTTATCAACAAACATCACTATAAAGAATCCTAGACACCATTTCCCATATGGTGGAGATCTGTGAAGGTTTCAGCCAAAATGTATGTTTGATTGTCTCCATCAGTTCCCCCCCCCCCCCCCCCACACACACCATCACTGTTCAGTATATTCATTTGTTGATAACTAGCTTGACTGCAGTCACCCCCTGTCTGCTCTTGATAACTAGCTTGACTGCAATCACCCCCTGTCTGCTCTTGATAATTAGCTTGACTGCAGTCACCCCCTGTCTGCTCTCGTTAACTAGCTTGACTGCAGTCACCCCCTGTCTGCTCTTGATAATTAGCTTGACTGCAGTCACCCCCTGTCTGCTCTCGTTAACTAGCTTGACTGCAGTCACCCCCTGTCTGCTCTTAATAATTAGCTTGACTGCAATCACCCCCTGTCTGCTCTCATTAACTAGCTTGACTGCAATCACCCCCTGTCTGCTCTCATTAACTAGCTTGACTGCAGTCACCCCCTGTCTGCTCTCATTAACTAGCTTGACTGCAATCACCCCCTGTCTGCTCTCATTAACTAGCTTGACTGCAATCACCCCCTGTCTGCTCTTGATAATTAGCTTGACTGCAGTCACCCCCCGTCTGCTCTTGATAATTAGCTTGACTGCAGTCACCCCCTGTCTGCGATACTTGAAGACAGTTTTAATGAATCAACAAAGCATTCTTGGTTTCTACTGAATGTGCACTTAAGCTACTGTTTTTATTCCATCTTCCTCCACTGGACCAGTAAATATTGTAGAATGTTCCATTTTTGGTGGTGTTATTTCTGGCTCCTGATATTCTGCTAAAAATATACTGATACATTTGTTTTACTGAGTTTGCTTCTGTGTACTCATCATTATACTTGCATTATCTCTCCCCGCCCCTCCCCCCCTCCCCCACCATTGTTTATGGCCCTACCACTTCACTTATCCAGTAAATGCCATACAATTATGTCCGCAACTCGTCAGGGAAGAGTTTGTATGGGTTCATAATACCCTTTGGATCCACAGTCTTTTTGATCAAGGCCATCAGCGCCACAGCCGTAGGAGTCTTACTGTGATAGATGAAGTTCTTCTTTTTGAAGCCAAGCCCATGCTCGGCGCTGACACTTCCGCGGTATTTGGCAACCCAGTCGTAGATGAACGGTTCGATGAGCGCCATAGTTTCCTCATTATACTCCTTGGCAGTGATGTTCAAGTGGAGGTTGCCTGTAGAGAGATATGTGGAGCCACATGAGTAAACAACAAGATCAGTCATACACAGAAGTCTGTCTACATTCAGATTGTCTGCCAAGGTTGAATAATCATTCTGCTAACACATCATCATAAAGTCAGGTACGATGCATGGTTTTATAATTAAAAAAACTGTGGTCAGAACGTCCACAAGAATAGCAGAACATTCGTAAATGGCTCTATATTTCATTGAGAGCAGATCCCACAACTGTGTCAGAATCAGTCAAGAGGAATGAACCAAACTCTTTGACAGGACCTAATTTGCATGAATCCAGACCTGTAACTGATAAGGACTGTGCCATCCAAGTTATTTACCACATGTTAAAACTAGGTGTTTATCGAAACTGGTAGAAGTAGTGACATAACAAATATGAACAATCCCACGCTGTTCAAACAAAGAAAAGCATGTAGTCAATTTGAAAATCTTGTGGTAATCTTGAGAAAAGACAATATAATTTGTGTTTTTCATGTTTTTTGCTTTACTGTATGTTGACGTAGACTAGTAATGCACCTGACGAGATACATCGAATTATGCTGGGCAATAAACTGCACAATATATTTGTATCTACAATATTTACATCCGGTTTTAGACGGTTATTGTGTTGTCCAGTCAGTATTTTCTTTAATATGAGATCTTACAGAAAGTCCAGTTTTATTTTTCTTGGTCAGCAGTATTGAAAGAATCCTTCTGTAACATTTATATTCAAAAGCTTATTCTGAAATAGTCTGTTTCACACCATTTATATATTGCCACCAGAGAAAAAAAGTGTTCTAAAAATGTTATTGGTATTTGTTTGGTGGCATGGTGCCATGTACTGTTGATGCTGTTTAATCTCCATATTGCTATGGTTAGTCTGCAGTTGACTTCTGAACAGTCTCCTCCTCCTTCTTCAGCATTCCGAGCCCTTGAGGTTCACTGCTGGAGATATCACCTGCTCCATTCATTTCTGTGTCTGACCTTCTCTTTCCAGTTAGTGACTGCAAATGTTTGTTGGTCTGCCTGTGTATCATCTCTTCATGGTCTTCTTGCTCTGCCTTGTGTGTTTTTTCTCCTTGATATTCATAATATGCATATTCTTATATGAATATAACATGCTTATTGATAAAATATAACTGCAGTGCTAAAGATGGGTGTCTGGAAGTGCCGAATGTAAGATGGGCCTGCGTGCCCAATTTGTGACTCTTTGAAAATAAAGTTTGTTCGTTCGTGGTCTACTCCTGAAACTCTTTTGTGTATGCAGTTTTTGCCTTTCTGTTACCAGTTCTCTCTATATGCCCCAGCCAGTGCTGTCTATTAGGCTGCATAATGCCAATAAGCAGTGGTGACTTAAACTTGTTGCTCCTGATTCACATTTCTCCACTCTTTGCATCTGAACGGCCCTCAGTGTTGTTAATTATGGAGCTAAGGTTGGCAACTTGTGACATTTTCTATGTCTTCGCTGTTGATGTAATATTTTTCCTGTTTGGGTTCTGGGGCCCCGTTTTGGGGGGAAATAAGAATAGACCCACTGCCTCCCCAATAAGCAGGTCGTAGAAGTCGACTAATTGGGGACTTCCTTCATAGTCTAAGTACATCTGCACCAGCGGCAAGGAACAACCAGCTGCACACAAATAAGCCAGTAAAACAGATGTATACACAACATTTAAGCCTTGGCACAAATGGATGAACAACCAGGCTTTCTGTCGCAGATACAGCCAGTGAACACAGGAAAAGAAGAAGACATAATGTTTGCTCGACAGATAACAATAATATATCAAGTGAAATTAATTTAAGCAAGAAGAGTCAAGCTAGTAAGACCACAAGTGAAAACATTACAGCTAAAACATAGTGATGTGTTAAAATATGGGAAATAAGAAAAGTAAAGACTAACGCCGTATAAGGCTGGCACTATAAGTTGTAAGCAGCTGCTGTACATGTTAGGAGGAAGCCTGAGCACTCAAGAGTGTTGAGAAGAGAGTAAAACTCATAAAGGGAAACATTTTAGAAATATGGCAAGTGCTCTACACTTTAGGAATCCTCTTCTTCCTCTGTGTTTGTCTTTTAAAGACCTTTTAAGTATGCTGTGATGTCTGCACTTTTCAACCCAACACATTCGATTTCAGGAAACTTCTCATTAGTACACTGTTTACGCCATGCTTGTCAGGAGACAGCTGTTCTATTACCCCTTCCTCCCCCCCCTCCCCCCCCCCCCCCCCACCCTCAATGGGACCCTGGTACCCACACAGAAAGAAAAAAAAACAAGGAATGAAAACATTAAAATTCATAAAAAACAAAGTAAAACTAACAGAAAACTAGATAATTCTGCAGAGAAACAATGGGGGATAATTTTGCTTACCATCTCCAACATGGCCGTACGCCACCACTCTGATGACTCGATCTTTCAGCCGAGCTCTCATGTCCTCAACCAGCTGGTAGAACACAGACAATGGCAGGGAAATGTCGTACTTGTAGCAATAGCCATCAAACATCAGAGCTTCAGGGCAGGCCTCCCGCAACCTCCAGATGTTCTGTTTGATTGACAACATATACAAGTATGCATTTATATAAAGCTACACTGGCCATCCAACCTGCTGAACATAAATTACCTAGTACAGCCAAGAACTGCTAAGGTTGGTTTGGCAACATCCTGAACAGCAAGGCTATTCAACTAAGTTTACTCAGGGGCCAGAATGTTGAAAAGTGGGATCGTCATGGGCCAGAGGCTTGAGCCCCAGCATAGAAAGATCATTAATACAGTACAGCTGGCAATGATCGGCGGGCCACCTGCTAGGTCTCTGCGGGCCGTCAGATAAATAGTCCCCTGTAAAGGAAACACAGCTAATATTTTTGTTTAAACCACAGCCATCATTATTAACAATATTCATACCAATACTGCTCTACCATGTTCAAACTGGGATATGAAATGAAGATAATAAACTTCTTTTTCTTCTCGTTCACCGGCTGTAAACTCCAGCAAAAAGTCCTGGTTGTTTGTCCACTTCTGGACTTTGGTGTCTAGGACTTCAAGTTTTGCATGCACATCTGTTTTACAGATCTTGTGTGTTTGATGTGTTCCTTGCCTCTCAGGCAGATGCTCTCTGACTCTGAAGGCAAAGTTGGTCATATCTCAGCCAGCCAGGCTTTTAGTTAGTTGCGCAAGGCCTTCAGCTGGGTCGAACCCGGCACCCCGCATTACAAAGCGCGTTCGCAACGCCTAGCTACAGATGCCGACAGGCCCTTAGTAAGGGAACCAGTTTCTAGGATGACCACGAAGAGATGTAGACAGATCTTGACCAGCACAAGCCCTGGTCCCGATCCACCAGCACCTGTGGCTCAGCATCTCTGCATCCTAACATAATGAACACAGTAAAGTAAAGGTCCCTTTTCCATGTCTTTAGGCATATAGAGCACAAGATGGGTGATGTGGTCAGCATCACGCCGGCAGCCTTTACTTCTCGGGACTGCACCCGGTACCCACTCAAGGCTGGGTTGACCTGGGAGCCAAAGTCATTTCTGAAAAAAGTCCAGCTCTGCCAGGTAGCGAACCCACGACCTTCTGATCCGCGGCGAGCGTCTAGCCGCTCCACCACGACGACTCCCAATGAACAGTAAACATTTTTTTTTTAATTTAAAAATAAACAAACACAGAACATCATAAACCAATAAAGAAAAAATTAATCACACAGAATAACCAATACCTTGACTTTTGTTAAATCTGTTGCTATGGTTCCGTCAACTGCTATGTTATCATCTATCACAAGCTGCAACAAGGACATCAACTTCTCTTCGTCGTGTCGGCCGTTGGAACCGCTGCACTCAACAAGCACATAGAAGGGGTACTCTGGCAAAGGGTTTTCTATGTTCATGTTTTCCTTGATAAGTGCCAGCGACTGACTGTCCATGAACTCAAACGCTGACAGCACCTCTCCAAGGTGAGCTCTGCATGCCTTGAAAACTTCAAGAATCTGACTGAATGACTCGCAAGCTGAAAGATACAAGTGAACTGTCAAACCACATTCTAAAAGATTGCTAGTTTATTTATCTACAGGTCAGTATCTCCATCACTGCCGGTCGGTCCATAGCCCAGAGGAAAAAGGAAGAGGTTTGGGCATGCAGCCAGCTACCCCACTCTGTAAAAAAGAAATGTGTTACAGAAGCTTGCACTAGTCTATAAGCCATATGTGGCATATAGCAGCATTACAGGATGATGATGATGATATTTGTGGTCTGTTTCTATGTATGGATGTGACTGCTAGAAACTGAATAATAAAATTGTTAAGACATTGCAAGAAGTGATAGTTAGGAATATTGAAAAAATTACAGAAACACAAATTGTATAGACCAGTCTTTCACATTTGGTAGTCAGCAGATCCCTGGGGTTCCACCAAACTTCTTAGCGTTCACAAGCCATAAACTGCAGTGGAATGTTCTGGTAGTTTATCCACTTCTGGACTTTTAGTCTTGTTCCAGAATTTGAGTTCTGTGTGTATGCCTGTTTTACAGATCTGGCTTATTTATGCAGACTTGGTTCCTCATCTATCAGGCAGATGCACTCTAAAGGAAATAAAAATTATTTAGTTGCATTTTACAACATGCTTGCTAGGAGGGTGGCGGATCTTGTCACCCCCTCCCCCCCCCCCCCCCAAATAGGGTCTTGGAACCCACACGAGGACCTGTTGAACACATTTAAGGGATCTGTGATATCATTTACAAAACTCTCAACTTTAGAATGCAATCCTTTTTTGCAAAGTCTAATATTTATAAATTAATATAACTTCTTTAGTTAAGGTTAGTTGCGTATCCTTTACAGGACGTTGCAGAACCAACCCCAGCAGTCCCTGGCAGTTTCTCTAGACAAATTTACGTCCAGTAGTTTGCCATTGCTTACTGGATGGTCGGCCCCCTGATACCACTTTTGAAATCAATGCATGGCGCATAGCCCGCAGATGGGATCGAACCCGGCACCCCCGCATTACGAAGAGTTTGCATCGGAGCTGACTAACTTCTTTAGTATGTCTATTAAAACTATGAGTTCTTACATACTGAAAACTATTGGCACAGAAAGGTTGCAGGTGTTAATATTTAACTTATCAACAGCAAAAGACAAAGTCTTCTACTCCTGTCTTCTTCTTCTTCGCGTTCACCAGCTGTAAACTCTGGCGGAAGGTTCTGGTTGTTCGTCCACTACTGAACTGCAGTCCTGCTCCAGAACCTGAGTGTTGTTTGTGCATTAGTTTTACAGATCTCATTCTCTAGAATACAGACTGTTGGTTCCTCGCCTCTCCAGCAGATGCAGTCCGACTTCAAAGGAAGCTCCACAATTAGTCTACTCTTATGACATGCTTTTGGGGAGGCAGTGGGTCTATTCTTGTTTTCCCCACAATGGGGCCCTAGAACCCACACGGGGGTTCTACTCCTGTGTTCGTCCTTAAAAGAGCAGCTGGCGTGTTTGTTTGGTTTACAGCTAGGCTGTGACACCTTTACCTTCCCCAACATATCCAATTTCAGCAAATCCATATTTAGTCGCCTTTTACGACATGCTATTGTTAATAAGCAGTTATTCCATTTTTTTTCCTACGCAAAAAAAAATATAGGATGCCAGAACTCACTTAGGGAAAACTGACAAATGATATCAATGAGGTTAATCAAGAGAAGATATAGAATTAATGAAAATGCTATGTGTGTGTGTGGGGGGGGGGGGATACAAAAGAGAGGAACAGAAGGTCATGTGTCAAAAGAGATAAGTGCCATTTCTGCTGCAGAGTTGCAAAGATTCTTGTAATGAACCGTTAGATGTTCGTCCATCAGAAGTGGTGAAGACCACTTTTCATCCAGAGTAGTAGTGATCAATGGTTATGAGGGCGAAGGTGGCTGGTCAGTCCAATATGATCCTGGAAAGTTCTTGAGCTAACAAATGGGCAAGAGAGAAGTTAAAAAGAAAGGGAGGACATGGGGTGAGCTGCATGCAATGGTGAAGGATAGAATGAGTTGTTTGAGAGCCTAGCCTCCATTGGGGGATAAAAGACAGAAGAAAAAGCAACTACTGATCTCATGTAACTGCTGCTTCTATCGACGCTGAACTGCATTTCTAGTGTTGTTCTGTGTTGGCACTTCTGATGGCTGCTTTGTGCATTTAATGAGTATGTATGGTGTTGGATTTGCTAAGACTGCAACCTGTGTAAATTTTTTTCCACAAAAGACAGTAATGAACAATCTGTATGGTTTTCACTGGCACAGGAACGGAGCAGCTACAGGCGACCAGTTCACTATGAAGTTGAAACTGCGCTTACCTGAATGAAAGACAGGCTCAATAATAAGCCTTACCTAGATAGCCTACTGAAACAGCCTGTGGTTGTTGGGGGCACAGAATGGAGACCCCAGTAATGATACCCAGGGTACCCTCTGACCCAATGAACAACTGCTTCAAATCATAGCCAGTGTTGTCCTTCCTCAGAGTGGACAAGCAGTCCAGGATCTGACCATCTGGGAGAACCTGCATACATTTTGGAACACAATATAGTAAATATAATAAGAAAACAATATGGTAAACATAATGATATCTTGTCACAAAATATGTGATGTATTCGCAATCTTTTTCCTCTTCTTCACGTTCACTGGCTGTAAATTACGGTGGAAAGTTCTGGTAGTTCACCCATTTCTGAACTTTGGTCCTGTTCCGGAACCTAAATGTTGCATGCACATCTGTTTCACAGATCTGACTCATCTTTATGCAGACTGTAAGTTCCTTGCCTTTCGGGCAGATGTACTCTGAATTTGAAGGAAGTTCCCAACTAGTGGACTCTTACAACATGATTCGGGTAGGCAGTGAGTCTGATCTTGCTTGCCCACAATGGAGTTCCACAACCCACATGGGGAGTATTCATAATCAGCAAGAACTTTGTTCTGTGATCAGGTCTGTGTTCTGTCCTTGTTAACATTCTCTGGTCAAGCCAACAAGACATGCATCTCTGTGTATCACCCTTGTTCCTTTCCCATGAAGACTGCCAACTGTCACCAGGTTTTCAAGCTCACCTAGTCTCATATTATTTCCAAAACGGTTAACATCTTTTCCTTTCCTCTACTCCTGGAATGCCTCGCAGAATCATGGCAGGAAGAGATATTTCAAACGGCCCTTCTGTTCACATTGTATTTAGTACTTTTCAGTGTCTCCAATATTGTTGCTGTCTCTTCTGAGCGTTCGACCTCTGACACTGTTCCCGCTGAATCTGTATAAAACTGCTCTTTGTGGTGCCCTGTCTGTTGCCAATCTTGTTACCTGGCCAAACCATTCGAACTGTTGTCTACCGATACAGTTCAGTATTGATTCTGTGCCGACTTTCCTCCTGATATCATCGATCCTAAGTTGATCTTTCCTTGCTACACCTAGGGATAATATCAGGTTAACACTTGATTTATGTAATCAATGTGCAGTTGCCGCACGTTTCTTGAAGAACACATACTTTATTTATGTATATATCAAAGCTGCTGTCTGCCTAGACACTACATTTGTATCTGCCATCAGATGAGCTAAACTTGTCCTCTTATTGTTTAGGCCTCGTGTGCCATTCTTTACTCTCAACTAGATATTTCCAAAATCTCATCTCATCTTGTTGTTCTTGAATTGTGAAATAAACTTTCTTACTTACTCGATCCTCTTCTACCTTGGGATGTAGAGGTTTGCCAGAGAGATCGTCAGACGTCTCTATCAGCAGCTTTCTTTTTGGCTTTGTTCCATTCTAGTCATCTGTCATTCAGATGTTACCCAGAATCGCCTTGGTGGTCTGGTTCTTTGTTTGTTCTTGGCTTCCCACACCTGCCACGCTGGCAAATTCTCTTCCATTCTTCATACATGTCCAAACCACTGTAACTATGACTGATCCACAGGGGTTAAGGGTGAAATATATACAGCTGGAAAGTGCCAGTTCATATTAGGGCTGTACGGAATATTCGCTTCATATTCGCTTCGGGGCCGAATAGTGGACCTATTGACTATTCGGTATTCGGCCGAATAGTTGCGGTTGGGCCGAATACGAATAGTAGTTACCTTACACCCACTTATGCATACATGGCCTTAATATTGACAACATGGAACGATTGGTTTTGTTGAAAGCTAATGCAGCTTTCATGCATTAACTAAGCTGTCAGTGACAATTTCTAAGTTTAGTTACTTGTTATAATACTTAGGATTCTTTCATTCCTAGTTATTAGTTACCACAGACTGACTGGAGGATGCAAAACATAAAATGTTTTTAAATGTTTACTATTGTGTACGAATACTAACTAGACATGGAAAGAATATAAACTTCGGCCACAAGTTGATAATATTGAAAATCAAACGAACGGAAATATATAAGTACTTGGGCGCAAACTTCAACTGCTCCAACATGCTGAGAGAAGAAACACATTGTAGAATACAATCTAGAAATAAAGTATACTATGCCCTTCAACATCTGCTAAAGTCAAAGTGTCTGCCTCGCAACACCAAGATCAAAATATATAAAACGTTGATAAGACCAGTCGTTTTATATGGCTGTGTAACTTGAAGCAGAAATAAAAAAGATGAGGCCTTATTACAAGTTTTCGAAAACAGTCTTACGACAAATCTTTGGACCCATCAAAGATCCTAACAGCGGGGAAGAGTGAGAAGCAACAACGTAACACATAATCTGTTTAAATCATTATTGATCACTGGCATTATGAGAGCTAACAGACTAAAATGGCTGGGGCATATTGAAAGAATGTCAGATGACAGAGAAGTAAAAACTCTATACACCTGAGAGAGATAATGTCCAGCCAGACCTGCAAACAACTGGTGTCACAAATTGTGAAGAGAAGGCCACACAAAGAGATGAATGGAGACGAGTGATATCTGCAGCAGTAAACCTCAAGGGCTCAGAATGCTAAAGAAGAAGATGACTATTCTGTGCTACTTTATGTGAAGTAAAAGTTTAGCGTACATTTGACATTATGAATTTTTTTAAAGATATATTATATACACTATACACTATTCGTATTCGGCCGAATAGTTGGTCCCGTTATTTCGTATTTGGCAGAATAGTGAAAATCACTATTCGGTACAGCCCTAGTTCATATGCTATGCATGTGGAAGTTTCCAGGCACTTTTATTATCCCTTCTACCCATCATTTGCATGTTCAGCCTCTCTTTTAATTTCTATTCGGTCTGTACACAAAGGTGGACAGTCTAGATAGTGAACAAGACTAGCCTGTCCAATTTGTATGCCATTACTACATTATATGCATAGCAGACTGAAATTTGAGTCTTATCACCGAAGACTGTTGCCACCTTTTCCTATTTCCAGACAGTTATGTAACACTGTGCTAGACGGATATATGAGAATCACAGGCCAAGGCAATGTCAAGTGTGACTAGCAAGACCCACCTGAGTTAAGAAAAGTCTTTCACAATTACAACAAGGGATTTCAGGACCGTTTTTGCTACAAATACGTAGAGGATTACACTCTAGATCAATGGCTTTCAACCTTCCTAATGTGGCGACCCTTTAGTACAGTTCCTCATTTTGTGGCAAGCCCCAATCATATAATTATTTTCATTGCTACTTCATGACTTCAGTGAATATGTGTTTTCAGATGGTCTTTGGCGACCCCTGTGAAAGGGTCACTAGACCCACAACAGGGTTGTAACCGCTACTCTAGATAATTATGATTTTATTATTGTTGACTTCTATTACCCTGTCAATTATTTGCAATACGTTGTCAATGATATGGATTAAACCGTCAATGATTATGTATACACTGCCAATGATTAGGATTACCGTCAATGATTAGACTGCGCCATCTAAGATTAGTATGATACAGTCAATGGTTAGTATTACAATTTAAAATTGAACTATTAGAGCAAATAGTTGGTGTCTGTGGCTTAGGCGTTGCAAACGCGCTTTGTAATGCTGGGTTTGATCCCAGCTGTGGGTCTTGCGCTTTGCGTTGCTTTGGACAGTGGTATCAATAGCCGACCGTCCAGAAAGCAATGGCAAACTACTGACCGTAAACTTGCCTAGAAAAACCACAACAGCCCAAAAATGCTGGGGTTGGTTCTGCAACGTCCTGTAAAGGATATGCAACTAACTAACTAGAGCAGATTACACCGGCATTAGCTGGAATAATTCATAAGAATGAAATCATTTTTCTTCTTCTTTGCGTTTATCAATTGTAAACTCTGGTATGTCCTGGTGGTTCGTCCACTTCTTGACTCCAGTATTATTTCAGATTCAAAATTTTGCTTGCACATCTGTATAACAGATCTACCTCATTTGTATGCAGACTGTTCGTCCCTTTTCTCTCAGACAGATGCACTTCGAAGGAAACTTCTAATTAGTTGACTCTTATGACGAACGAACGAACGAACGAACAAACTTTATTTTCAAAGGGTTACAAATTGGGCACGCAGGCCCGTCTGACATTCGGCCCTTCTAAGTACTCATTTTTCAGAGTACTAATACCTGTTATCAATAATGCATGTTATGGATTTAAAAAGAAATATATAATGCATACACACATCGTTGTACGCCATCATACACACTCACACACACGTATACATACATCTACATTTTCATACAGGTGAACTCATATACAGACATACGTGATACATACACACCTGCATCTACATACATATACAAGCATACACATACACAGAAATGAATGCACAAACAGAAAACACACACACATACATTTATGGATATACATGCAAACACGCATTCCATATATAAACATCTATACATGCACCCATGCATACACACATATACCATTACATGTACAGACACCAACATATGCCCAAAACCACACATTTACACTTACATGAATACATACACCCACACACAAGCATACATATATCCACACATTTATACCTAAACTCACATCTTTACACACACACATACACACCTAAATATACTTTCATATATCCACATACATACACTCACAATCACACACACATGCACACTTGTATGCTTTTATAAATACACAAACACCCACATACCTACACAGCTACATATACCTGCATACACCCACATTATACATAAATATACACACACAGATACAATCACATACTTACACATTTACATTCATACATTCTCATACATACAGACATACATAATACATACATGCACCTACATACATATACGCACACATACACATGTGTACATACATAGGCTAAATCTGCATGCATACATAATACAAACATACATCGACATACAAACATAAACACACATTTACATAGACATACATGCGCGCGCACACACACATGACATATTTGTGAGGGAGGTAGTGGGTCTATCTCCATCTCCCCCCCCCCTTTCCCACAATGGAGTCCCAGAACCTACACATGGAGATGAAATCAGTGATGGTTAAGGTTGTAAAAATAACTTACTGCTTCAATGCCCAAGTAAAATCAGTGATGGTTAAAGTAGTAAAAATAACTTACTGCTTCGATGCCCAAGACTGATCCATGCAAGGAGCCGTACCTCAGCACATGAATGCCTCCAGCATTTGTGGCAACGTTGCCTCCAATGTGACAGCTTCCTCTAGCACCCAGATCCACAGGCATCGTCAAGCCATGCTCCTCGACATGCTTGTACAGGTTGTCCAAGATACAACCAGACTGACAGACAAGTATACCTGGACAATTCAAAACTGTTAAAAACTGACCGCAGTCAATCTGTTATCAAGAAATGATTTCTTCTTCTTTGTTCACCGGCTGTAAGCTCCAGTGGAAAGTCCTGGTTGTTTCTCCCTCCATTTGGACTTTGACTCTGTGCAAGGGCCTGAATTTTGCGTGTACATCTATTTTACTGGCTTTATTTGTGTGCAGTTGGTTGTTCCTTGTCGCTCAGGCAGATGCTCTCTGACTTTGAAGGAAGTCCCCAATTAGTCGACTTTTACAACATGCTGGTTGAGGAGGCAGTGGGATTATTCTTGTCTTCCCCAAAATGGGGCCCCAAAACCCACACGGGGAAAGAAATGATTTAATGCCACACTGTTTCTTTCCCTATCAAAGGGATGAATGAATTTTTAAAAAGCAGCAAAGAAATAAGATAAATGTCTGGACAACCGCTGGTATCTTGACCACAACCAGGCACATCATGAGGAGAAGTGAACAAAGAATTCTGGTATCTTGACCACATACCAGGCACATCATGAGGAGAAGTGAACAGAGAATGCTGGTATCTTGACCACAACCAGGCACATCATGAGGAGAAGTGAACAGAGAATGCTGGTATCTTGACCACAACCAGGCACATCATGAGGAGAAGTGAACAAAGAATTCTGGTATCTTGACCACATACCAAGCACATCATGAGGAGAAGTGAACAGAGAATGCTGGTATCTTGACCACATACCAGGCACATCATGAGGAGAAGTGAACAGAGAATGCTGGTATCTTGACCACATACCAGGCACATCATGAGGAGAAGTGAACAGAGAATGCTGGTATCTTGACAACATACCAGGCTCATCATGAGGAGAAGTGATCAGAGAATGCTGGTATCTTGACCACATATCAGGCACATCATGAGGAGAAGTGATCAGAGAATGCTGGTATCTTGACCACATACCAGGCACATCATGAGGAGAAGTGAACAGAGAATCATCAAACACACTTAAATGAGAAACAAATTGACTGAGGAGGTCAGGATGTCCAAACAAAATCCTAAGATGAATACTGATAAGAGAGGCTAAAGATGCTGAAGTGGTTTCCATCCATGATTTTGAAACAATTGCAGAGAATAGAACTGAATGGAAGGACAGACTGAGAGCTCTATGTGACGTATAACAGCACAAATGGATGATGATGATGATGATACATGACTCTCCCATTTTGGGGTGTAAACATTCAGTTGTATCTGTGACACCTTTTCCTTTCCACCCACTGAGCTTCCTAGTGATACTTTGTGCTGGGCTGATCAACTTCCTGACACTGGTACAATGTCTGGTCTGCTTACAGAACTAACATCTCAGCACACCGGACATACCCACAGATGCTCCACCTCTTGCAGAAAATGGCTAACTGCTTCAGTAGTACACTTGTACACATACTGTACTATTCCAATCATACGTCCTTTCTTGGTGGATCCATACTAAATTCCAAAGTCACACATCATTACACATGTTATGTCAGATTGTACATCCCCAGCAGCCTTTGTTCATAAATGTTCTTTAGAGTGTCTGCCTTGTCCAGTATGAGTGTTCCTGTAGGTCATAGCTATTCAACTAGCGGCCCACAGAGGCCTTGCAAGTGGCTCGCGAGTAACTGCCAGCTGAATGATCTTTTTATGCTGGGACTCAGGTCTCTAGCCCGCTGTGATCCCTATTTTCAACATTTTGGCCCAGAGTAAACTCAGCTGAATAGCCTTGCCGTTACAGTCCAAGCAAGTAGACAACAATTTTTTAAATTTTAATTACTACACAATGCAGAAAATCAACCCTCATAAAATATTTCAGGTGCAAAATTGAGAGTACATTACAAACAGAAACATAGCCAATAAGTATGAAAACAATGAAGTAAGTATAAAGAAGAATGCATGAGTTACAGGACCAATTATATTTATGCAATCTGCCAAGCATTTTGATGCTTTCAGCACGGACAACTGAAATTATATATGGCAAACATTTCTTCCAGGCCAGATAACTGGAACACTTTGTATCTCTCTCTCTCTCTCTCTGTGTGTGTGTGTAGTGTGTGTTTAGAGAAATTAGTTAAAACTGGGAAGCAATAAAGTAAAAGGATGTAAATAAAAGTACAACAAAATTATAAAGGGAAGGGAGACATGAAGAAGAAGAATGAAGAAAGGGAGAGGTCAGGACAGAAAAAATAAATTTACTGGTGAAAGACAGAAGGTAAATAATAATAATAATGACAGTATAGTAAAGATCCCTTTTTACGCCTGTAGGCGCATCGGGCATATGGGAAGAGTACCCATATTTTTACAGACCAATAGGCACTAGGTGGGTAATGTGGTCCACATTATGCCGACCGTCTTTACTTCCCCAGGACATACATCCCTACCCATTTTAGGCTGGGTTGACCTGCAACGCCCCATACCATGATCAAAATCCACGCAATCAGCAGTAGGTTTCGATCGCGGTACGTTGGAATCACGAGCCGGACTCACAACGCTCAAGCCACGGACGCCGCAATAATGACGGTGATGATGATAAATATAATTATGTCAACATTATACCTGAAACAGTATCCAAACTAATGACTTTGTTCATGAGCTGGGTGCTAATGATGACCTCATCAAACACAGGAACACTGCCTCCAACCATCCCTGTGTTGCCTCCCTGGGGGTTGATAGCCAGGTTACGGTCGGAGCAGTATTTGACAATAGCTGACACTTCCTCTGTGGTCTTTGGCTTCAGCAGAACTCTGCTCTCACCTGAAATGTATTACAGGTAAAAGGCCTCACAGTCTGTTTTCTCAGCATGTGTTAACATGCCATAATGCAGCAAATTTAATCTGTTTTCTCAACATCCGTTAAGATGTCATAATGCAGCAAATTTAATCTGTTTTCTCAGCATGTGTTAAGATGTTATAATGCTGCAGCAAATTTAATCTGTTTTCTCAACATCTGTTAACATGTTATAATGCCGTGAATTTCATTGGCTTTCTCAACATCCGTTAACATGTCATAATGCCGTGAGTTTTGTATTTTCTCACACATCTGTTAACATGTCATAATGCAATGAATTTCATCTGTTCTCTCAACATCCGTTAACATTTCATAATGCCGTGAATTTCATCTGTTCTCTCAACATCCGTTAACATGTCATATGCCGTGAGTTTTGTATTTTCTCAAACATCTGTTAGCATGTCATAATGCAATGAATTTCATCTGTTCTCTCAACATCCGTTAACATTTCATAATGCAGTGAATTTCATAAACCATTATGTCATAAACCAAAATCACAATATAATAAACACGGATTTGACAGACTGTTCTATACGGCTCTGAAACCTGGAAAGCTAAAAGACGAGTCCTTGAAAAATCTTTGGACCCATCAAAGATACAAACAGTCAGAGAATGGAGAGTGAGAAGCATCAACAAAATCCATAATCTGTGTCAATCACCACTAATTATCTGCTTCATGAGGGCTAATATACCAGGGTTGGGGCATATACAGATAATAGACTAAAACTGCATATACAAAAACTGAATGGGAGTAGATCATGGGGCAGACCAAGAAGCCGGTGGAGAGATAACATACAGACATCCTTGTGTGGGTTCCGGGGCCCCACTGTGGGGAAAACAAGAACAGACCCACTGCCTCCCTAACAAGCATGTCATAAGAGTCGACTAACTGGGGACATCCTTGTGTGGGTTCCGGGGCCCCATTGTGGGGAAAACAAGAACAGACCCACTGCCTCCCTAACAAGCATGTCATAAGAGTCAACTAACTGGGGACATCCTTCAAAGTTGGAGTGCACCTGCCTGAAAGCCAAGAAATACAGGTCTGCATACAAATAAGCTAGATCTGTGAAACCGATGTGCACGCAAAACTCAGGTCAGAAGGTGGACGAACACCCAGAACTTTACACTCTTCGCCAGTGAGTGCGAAGAAGATATACAGACAGACCTATAAACACTTGAAGTCACCAACTGGAAAGGGAAGGCCAATCACTGTGATAATTTTAGGTGAATGATATCTGCAGCAATGAACCTCAAGGGCTCGGAATGATTAAGAAGAAGAATACTGTCATAATATAGTGACTTGTGCCAAGATGACATAACACAATGAACTGTGTCACACCAACCATTTCACACACACAAAAACTATATGACACAAAGATTCTATAACCTATTATAACTGTTACTTAAAGATGTGCAGATGAGATAGGCAAATGTTTGTTCTCTTCTTAGATAGCTAAGAAAATGATCTCCTACACAGAGATTAGATGGCAGAATGAGTTATCAGGGTTCTAAACAATAATCTTCAACTGGGTTTGAACCTAGTACCTTACTATTCGAATGTCCATGTCACACGTCCATGTCACTCCAACCCCTGTCCTAAACAATCTTTACAACAATGATACTAACCTCTAACCGTTTTTAACCAGTCAGTGTTACTGTAAAGAAGCTCATCCCTATCTGTAACCACACGGCCTGGTAGAATCTTTTCAAATGATGAAATGTCTAGGTCACTAAGGACAGCAAATGGCCCTCTTTTCACGTGGCTCTGATATCGCTCCCTCGTTAATGGAACATTAGATGAATGCCGAACCACATCTGTCCTGCTGATATTACTCAGTGAGTTATGTTGCACTTGTTTTAGTGTAACTGTTGGATTTCCTTTAACATATGGTCTCAATGGAAGCCATGTGCTGAAGTTTGCTGAAGCCAATGTTGTTGTCTGTTCCTGGGATGTTTGTTGAGCTTGTAGCAGTCGATGGTTGTTATAAGACAACCATGGTAACCCCTTGTTTCTGATACTCATTTTCAGTTGCCAGCTCAAACAACTTCTAGCCAGATTATGCATTGCTCTGCCAACTCAGTTTGACAATTAAACTTTTCCTGTGTGAGTATAAAAGGACAAAATGGCAGTAGTTTTAACAAATGTACCCGTAAACATAGTGCTAAAAATAAATAGTCAACATACATCTACCGTGATTGACAATCTCCTGCGGAAGACTGAATGCATGTGTGTGACCAGAGCATTGTGATGTTTCTTTTTAGTAATTCTAAAGGACCCGACAAACTATCATTACAAAGTGACAGCTGGTACTAAATGCTGCAAGAATGTTAGTATACAGACCATCTTATCTCTTAGGTCAAAGCAATGCGTGATGTGTACTGGACTTTTTCCCTTGTACCTCAGCTATCACATATTGTGCTCTCTAAACTATTACATTTGAACTCACATACTTAAAACAAATCTGACTTTCCCAATAGCTCTATGTTGCATATTTTGTTTCTCTTAAGCTAATGCTCTTCATAGTTTAAGTTTTAAGCCTGATGAAATGTCTTTTTAAACTCCTTGTGTGGGTTCTAGGATTCCACTGCGGGGTGAAGGAAAGGAGGAATAGAACACTGCCTCTCTAACAAGCATGTTGTAAGAGTCGACTAATTAGGGACGTTTCCTTCGCAGGTGGAGTGCATCTGCCTGAGAGGCAAGGAACCAACAGTCTGAACATAAATAAGCCATATCATTAGGTCATTAGACACAAGACATACCATAATATATGCGGCAACTTTATCCTAACAAAAGTACCAAATAACGTTTACTCTGAATGTTTATGTTATACAGTTGCACCTTAGAATTCAAAAGCCTCAAAACTAGAACAACTTGGAATCCAAATGAAATTTTAAAGTATATTCTGTCTTAGAACTCGAACACCACCTTAGTAACTGAACACCTGAGCTGACAACGCAAGAGTTTCAGCATCTTCGCCAGCAGCATAAAGAAGAAACTGCAGAAGACAATTCGTCAGGGAATGAACTGGGAGGAAACTGGACGGATCAGCACTGTTGAAATACAAGATCTTTTGACCGTGTGATCGAAAATACAAGTTGTTGAGAGGTGGCACCCTAATAAAGTCCTAGTTAACAGGTGTAATAACTTATTAAATGATAACATTATTCTTCTTCTTCTTTCACAGGCTGTGAATTCCGGCGGAAGGTCCCGGTTAATCGTCTGCTTGGACTTTTGGCTTTTACCTGGACCTGAGTTTTGCGTGTACAACCGTTTTGCTGTTCCCTACCTCGCGGGCAGATGTACTCCGACTTCGAGGGAAATAACATTATTGAACACTTTAGCAAAATTGAAAATGCTCGCCTGCAGCAAATCGCTTTGGAATGCTGGCTTCAATAAAAACTAGTGACCCCCAGACCCTCTACAAGTAGTGAACGACTACAATATAAACACCAGAAAAGATTTCTGATGTTATTATAGAAGATGACTGATGTTCCAAACAATAATCTCCTTCAAATAAATTCCCCGCTTCCTCCGACTTTGATGTGCTATGTCACATTTTTTATCAAGGTACAGTAAATACATATATATTTTGAAATTTATGTTTGTATTCAAATATGGTCATGTTTTATTATATTTACAGTGTATTGTATTTAAGAAAATACATAGTAAAATTTCACTTTGCTGGACTCTGGAAAAGATTAATTTTATTTCCCTTACTATCAAGGAAATCGGCTATCCTCTGAATAACGGGCACAAAATATGGAGGCCAAAAACGGGGCATCAGTCATGTGTCAATTGCGCACTTCCAGCAACTTAATTTGCGGTTTTCCGACGACTACCGCCACTGCCGAGAGTATCTCCCACCCCGCTCATGCGGAGTGGATTAGGGCTAAACTAGATGGCTAAGACTCACGAACAAAGCTGCAGGAGATGCGGAAGCTGCTGCTCGTGAGTCCCAGCCATCTAGTTTAGCCCCAATGTGGATTCTCTTGACGGTGGCGGTATAGTCCCCGGAAAGGCGCAATTCGGGGGTGGCAGTAAAGTCTCCGGAAGTGCGCAACTGACACGTGACCTAGGCCCTGTTAAGGAATATTTTCGGCCTCAATAATTTGGGACCGTTATTCGGAGGATAGCCCAGATCAGTTTTGAATTCTGAGGTACTGCTATAAAACAAACTCATTAGTAATATAATAATAATACCTTAACTAACTTTTTGGCACTCTTCCGAATACCGGTCCCAAATTATTGACTGTCCAAAACATCCCTTTTAGAGCCTCAAGGGGTTCAAGGGGTTATAAAGAGGTCAAGGGGTTATAAAGAGGTTATACAAAATATGGAACACGTACAACAAAATATGGAACAATACGTGCTAATAATGCTGTGAAATAATAATTCAGGCCATCATCATCAGTTTAAAGTTAAGCGTCGTGGGGAGAAATAGTTTTCAATCCACTGAAGTGACGTGGGAAGGAATAATTTTTGATCCATTGAAGTGCTGTGTCGATGGGTAGCAACGTTTAGATCATCATCATCAGTTTTCACTTTTGCCGTTAAGCGCCGTGAAAAAATAATTGAGGCGCGGAAACATGTGTGTCTCCCCCCCCCCCCTCCCAAAAGAAGGAATGATAAGCTACAAACAGTTGCACAATAATTTTTGTTCCATGCGAAAGGCGCAAATATCGCAGCCTAGTTGTAAACCACAACACAAAGTGCAACCAGTGCAACCACCCTTTTTTGAGAAAAAAAAATTTTCCCGCCGGAGAATCATACCCCGATCACCTGCTTAACAGGCAGAATGCCTATCAACTGTACTGGCGAAGACTCTGTAATTTTGTTCAAATGAAATTATATAATAAAAGAAAGCATAGTTCATAGTGTTCCTGTTCCATATTTTTAACTACATGACCTCTCAAGTCCCTAACTGTGACCTCTTGAGGCCCTGGATGGGATTTTTTTGTCTTTGAAAAATTTGGGACCGTTATTCAGAAGAGTGCCAACTTTTTTTTTACTAACGTCCAGAGTTTTTTCTAGAAAAAAAAAATCCCTGTCGGGTACTCAAAGTGCCTTATCTAAAGAAAGGTAGCAGTAGGTAGCCTACACACAATGTATTAGTATTTAAATATTACAGTAGCGTAGCGCTAAAAAATAGTGCAGTGCTAAATAATGCTGGTACTGCACCCCATTGCGTTGCCAGAAACAAACAAAAACTGACCCGATATTTATAGCATTAGTATACTACATATAATAATAGTTAATACCAACTAAATTCAGTATCAGTAACGAGTCAGTGTAACTGTAACGTGTTACCTAGTTAGTTGGTTACTGCAAACTTTACTTCTACTAATACTACTAATCTAATAATCTATTATAAACCTCCCTCTCTGTAGAGTAGACTAAGAAGAGACTAAGACTACAGAGGTACGCCTCCCCAAACCGAAGGCTGCACTTTAAAACTAAAACAGCTGAGCGTAATGTTATATATAGTATTATGCAAATACCTACACGGATCTTGTAAGCAGGTAGCTACAGTTTGCCTATCTGGGGTTAAAATACTGGAAAACGTCCACTGACCGACGGCCTGGGTCCCACACCATAGTGTTATCTGTCGTGTCTGCTTCTTCGCGACACGGCGGATAAGGTTACCTTCAATCACACAAGAGTGTCCTTTGTGTTGATTTCGATAACGATATTGGTAGGAAGTGAAAATATTGGGGTGACTGCAGACAAGCCAGTACAATGAATTCCAATGAAATGTGACTAAAAAGCTTAACGAAATGGGGAAGCAGAAAAAAGTGCACAAAAAACGTTTCGGCCGGCAGCCTATGTCAAACATGAAGTGAACTACACAAATGTAACAAAGTGGAGAGTGTCTTTGTTACATTTTAATTTAAGAGCAAACTACAACAGTCTTTTCCATGCTCGGTCTACGAAGGCTCAGGTGGCTGGGTCACACATGGAGGATGGCAGAGTCCATAAGGACATCCTTTATGGTGAATTAAAAACAGGAAGAAGATGTCGAGGCCAACCTCTACTACCGTATAACAAATGTGTGCAGGCGGATTATGAATGATACAGGTATTGAGGTTGACTCATGGTAACAAAATGCCATCGACCGTGTTGTGTGGAAAGAGCATATTAGCAAGGGAATGAGAGTGAAGAAAGAAAGGATGAGAGCTGAGCGTCTGAAAAGAAACGGATTAAACACAAATGTTGACAACAATGGTCCTGAAATCCCGTGCTATCATTGTGGAAGATTTTTCTTGACACGGGCGGGTCTTGCTAGTCACACTCGCCATCGCCATGGGCTGTGAGTCTCATGTCTCCTCATAGCGCAATATAACACTATCGTCTGGAAAGACGGAAAGGTGCCAGTCGGTGTTACACTTGTGTAGTTCACTTCATGTTTTACAAAACCTACCGGCCTAAACATTACTGGGTTGTTCTGTGCATGTTTTTCTGCTTCACCAATTTCATTAACCTTTTTAGTCACATTTCACTAGAATTCCTTGGTAGAAGGGGTGTGCCTCCATTTGAATAATACGAGGACGCGTGAAATAGTAAAGAATATTGCCTAATTGTATAATAAAAATCAAAGGTAATATTCTAGGACAAGCACATAAATCTGAGTGTCTAGGCACCTGTGTGAGATCCGATGGGAAAATGTATCACAGAGATAAAGAATAGAATAGAACAAGCTGAATCTGCATTTTATAAAATGCCATATGTAGCCAGTTTTAACATGCGGCTGTGAGTCCTGGCCAGTGAAAACAAACCAGACAACTTCTTGGGAGCTCGGGAAAGTGACTGTACAGACGAATGTTTAGAATTCCTCGGGCAGCTAAAAAAAAAGGAGCAACCCAAAAAAAATTTTTTAAGGGGGGATGGGGGAGCTCGCAGACAACGTATCACAAATACCTGAAAGAGATAGAGTAAACTTTGGGGATGGGGGGGGGGGGGGTCATGCTAAAGACAAGAAAGAAACATTTTATGGCCACAGGAGAAATCTGTGGACAAAGAAATAGAAAAGGGCAACCTTTAACGATTCGTGAAGCCTAATGGCATGA